GTGAAAGAAAACAATCTGAAAAGGCTACATACTGTACGTATTCTGGAAAAGGCAAAACTATGGAGACAATAAAAAGATCAGTGGTTGTCAAGGGATTGGGGGAAGAGGGAGGGATGAACAGGTGGAACACAGGATTTTCAGGACAGTGAAACTATTCAGTATGATGTTGTAATGAAAGATACATGTCATGATACATTTGTCAAAACTCAGAGAAAGCATAACACAAAGAGTTAAGTCTAATGTAAACCATGGACTTTAATAATAATGTATCAACACTGGCTCATCAATGATAACAAATGTGCTACACTAATGCAATTTGTTGCTAACAGAGGAAGCTGGAGGGTGTGGTTAGGGGATATAAGGGAACTGTGCAGTTTCCACTCATTTTTCTATAAACCTGAAACTGCTAAAAAAAAAAAGTATTAATTAAAACACACACATGCACAGGAAGGAAGTGCAGCGTCTGTGTGTGTTGAGAGGTGAGGTGGGTCTGCCTTGGGAGTTGAAAGTCTGGGAGATGAGAGGGTGACCTGAGCATCCTGAGTTCCTCGGGTGACAGAGCCATATACTGGGATAAACGATACAATGAGATCAGTGATGGCAGCCTCAAGACAGGGAGGTTCTGAGTCTGTGGGAGGGTGGGGGCTTCCTGGGGCCCTTTCTTCACTCCTGCTAATGGTGACGAGGAGGCCAGTGTGGGGGCAGTCTTATTCCTGGCAATAGGCTTTACACTCACCCACAATCTGCAAAATTTATTAAGATTTCTGGCCTATAAAACTGGAGAATATAGCAAACCTGTGCACCATACTCCTTTCTTTTTCAAGTGGTAACCAGCGCTTCAATCAGTTCTCAGTTTTACGTTTGATATTTAAATATTCTTTATGGGAGAATGGCTGCTCCTACCACGAAGAAAGTTTTTGAAGTCTCAAGTACCTTGAGGAGATATATATCTATACGAAGGCACACGCTTCCAGGAGCCATCTTCACATTTCTTCATGAACTGGTCAAACAGGAGTCTTATTTCCTTGCTCCAGCTGGGATTGGGGAGAGAACGGTCCTTATCAATGAATTTCTCAGAAGAAAACAACCTCTAAAAGACAGAGAGGAGAAGAAGAGTAAGGGAGGCGCATCCTATTTCATAACACATTCTCCTATTTTAGAAGACTATCTTGCCGCTCTTCCTCTTCGCAGAAGCTTGTCATTTCGGAGTGAAAGCAAATTTCAAAGATTCCCTGGTCCGACCTCCTTGGGAGAAATGGGAGACTGAACAAATCATTAATCTCCTCCCAGTGTCATTCAACTAGCTACCGGCAGAGCCAGCAGCACGCCCGGGTCTGCAGACCCTCCTCTTTCTTTCAAACCTTAATCAAGCACAGGTGAGCTGGGCACTGGAGCTAAAGAGAGATGAGGGACCTGTCCAAGGACTCCTTCGAGATTTTCCTCCATGGAAAAAGTGCTCCCAGTGGGGTGTGTACAGGAAGCCAGAGCACAGGAGGGAGGTGTTCATCTCACACTGGGGACTCAGGGAGGGGTGCTTGGACCTGAATCTTGATTAAATAAGCAGAAATTAGCCAGCTAGAAAGAATATTGTAGGCCAAAGAACACCGTGTGCAAAAGCAAGGAGGCACGAAACAGTTTTGAGGGGTCTTACTACAACCATATTAAGTAGGTACCAATTATTATCTCCATTTACAGATGATGAAACTAAGGCCTAAAAGCAGCTTGGCATTGTTTCAGTGCAAGGGGAGGAGCAGAAGGCGGAAGAGATGTAGGCAATAGCCTGACTGTGGGAAGCTTCCACACTAAGCTAACTGGTTTGAATTGTATCTGCAATGCTCTCAGAGGGATTTTTTTTTTTAAGATTTTATTTTTTTTCCTTTTTCTCCCCAAAGCCCCCCAGTACATAGCTGTACACTCTTCGCTGCGGGTCCCTCCAGTCACGGCACGTGGGATGCCACCCCAGCGTGGCTTAGATGAGCAGTGCCATGTCTGCGCCCAGGACTCGAACAGAGAAAACACTGGGCTGTCTGCAGCGGAGCGCGCGAACCCAACCACTCGGCCATGGGGCTAGCCCCTCTCAGAGGGATTTTAAACAGGGGAGGGACTCGTTCAGGTCTGGCTATAACATGAAAGATGGTGGGAGTGACCGAGATTGGAATCAGAGAGCCCTGTTTGGAGGCAACTGGGGTAACCCAGGTGAAAAATTATGAGCACAGGCAAAACTTGCTGAGTATTTGGCTACAGAGAGTGAGGGAAGAGAGAAAATATAGGTGCCACTCTCAGGTTTCTGACTTGTGCGACAGCGTGGGGAACAGAGCCAACTGCCAAGAAAGAGAATATAAAGAAGGAAGAGGAGGAGGTTGGGGGATGAGTGCTTGGTGTCACAGTAACCACGCCTTCCGTTCACGCTACTTCTCTGCAGCACTGAGCACTGCTACCACTCCAGTGCCCACGCAGCCAGTGGAAAAGTCAAGGGGCTCTGGAGGACGTGGGGGACAAAGTGTGACCTACTAAGGAGCAGGACAAAGTGGAAGCCCACAGGTACCAGAAAGAAAGATTGGTTCTTTTGACTTCTGCAGAAATCTTGGAACCTTAAGATCAAAGAAGCCATCAGTTCTGGGGCACTCTACTTCCAGGCACCCTTATCAATTCATTCACATTCAACGCATCTACAATATTTGGCTGCACCCCAAAGCCAAAGCGGGGAGGCTGCACTTACTGTGATGCAAGAACCAGCTAATCAGCCTTGTGCTGACACCTGGGCCGGCTCTGCTCCCGGCTCAATGGTAAGAATAAAAGGAGCCTGTCTCAAGAACTCTACAGAGCTGAAATCTTCCTGGCTGACCAAAAGGAGTCTAGGCTTCAGGAAGGGAAACACGAGCAGGGCAGAGACTACGCCACTCCCCAGGCCAGTATTTACCTTGTCTTTTTCCTGTGGTTTTGGATTGGCTCATCCCTTCAGAACCCAGCTCAGAAAATTTGGGGAAGAAAGAAAAGAAAAACAAAAACAAAACAAAAAAACCCCACTCAATCTCTCTCTATCTTAACACAACCAATGGTAACATTCTGATGTATTTCCTCCAAGTTTTTTAAAATGTAATTTTCCTTCATACACTTGTAATCTCAGTTAAGAAATACAATTTTTCTTCCTGCTTCACCACTTAAAATTATTTAGCGTTCACTTTCTCATGTCCTTAATATCAATTATCACCATTTTCAACAGCAGAAAAATAGTCCTTTAAATTAACGTTTTATAATTTACTTAATCATTTAAGTTGGACATTTAAATTGTTTCCAATATTTTGCTGCTTTAAATAAAAACGATCACTGGAACATTATGAATATAGCCTTTTCTGTATTTTGGATTATTTCCTTAGACTCCAGTCCTAATCATGAAGTTTAAAGTATATGAATTCTGGAAGCAACCTAACAGACACAATTGGTCACAAATTAATGTGTATTAACCAATACATGTCAATTGAGAGGTGAAATAGGATGTGCAGGCTTTGGAGTTGTGAATTTGGGCTCATGTCGTTCACAGGTCTCATCTTAAATAGGCAACTCTAAGACTGATCAGTTCCAGCATCCTTTTATGGACAGTGCAGTAGAGGTAAGAGAAGACTTTTAGGAACTAGAATGTCTTCCTTGACTGTTTCAACTTTGAATGTGTGGGATTTAGCCAGATGCAACAAACGTTTTTGAGCCGTGCTATGTGCCCTGGTTCTGTGCCAGGAGCAAGTAAGACAAAGAGAGAAGACTTAGGCCCTGCCCTCAAGTGCTTGAAGCTTTGAATGTGAAAAATGCTACAACAGAAGGAGATACAGACACAGAAGGAGTGACTTTCAGGGAAAACTTCAAAAAGATGAGGACTGGTACAGCCCAGTGGTGTATGTGTTAAGTTCACACACTCCACTTCGGTGGCCCCGGGTTCATGGGTTCAGCTCCTGGGTGCTGACCTCCACACTGCTCACCAAGCCATGTTGTGGAGGCATCCCACATACAAAACAGAGAAAGACTGGCACAGATGTTAGATCAGGGACAATCTTCTTCAAGCAAAAAGAGGATTGGTAACAGGTATTAGTTTAGGGTCAATCTTCCTCACCAAAAACAAACAAAAAAAAGATGAAGACTGATGGAGTGATTTCTAAAGCTCACTAAGGAGAAAATGGGAGGGCTGCTCCAAGCAAATGCATAGAGAGATGAAACAAGCATATGACACACTGGGGAACTGCTAGGATTTCAGTCTTCATGGATGTAAGGTGCAAAGAGAACAGCAGTAAGATATGGATAGCAAAGTAGAAGAGGGATCACATCACAGAGGCTCTCTGGCCTTAACGCAGGCTTAGAGTTTATGATCTGGGTCAACGTTTCCAAAGGCCAACAGGAAAGATGATTTTATTTTATTTTATTAATTTATTTATATTTTTGAGGCAGATTAGCCCTGAGCTAACATCTGCTGTCAATCCTCCTCTTTTTGCTCAGGAAGACTGGCCCCGAGCTAACATCCGTGCCCATCCTCCTTTACTTTATACGTGGGGCACCTACCACAGCATGGCTTGCCAAGCGGTGCCATGTCCGCACCCGGGATCCAAACTGGTGACCCCCAGGCCACCAAAGTAGGATGTGCAAACTTTACCCCTGCGCCACCAGGCTGGTCCCGGAAAGACGATTTTAGATGGCACAAGGACAATGATATATGTATTTTTAAATGCATATTATAAAAAGGACATAAGTAGCACATCGCACTGTGATTTCACAAATGTTATTACTTAGGATGAAGCTAATTAAAGAAAGGGAGTTTTAAAGAATCATGAAGGAGGTACTTGAAAGCTAAAATACTTTTTTTCTATTTTGGCCTTAAGGAGTTTTAAGCAAAGCAGTAACGTGAACTTGAGTTTTAGAAAGCTCCCTCTGAGGTAAAGGATGAATTGCAAGGTGAGAAGCAGTGGTAGGGAAACCAGTTAAAAGACTGTTGCAAAGGTCCAGGTGAGATATGGTTAGAAGCAGAACCAGATAAAGAGGAATGAAAACAAAAGATTTAAGAGATATTTAGGATATTAGGACCAAGGGATGTGGAGAGTGAATAGTGGGGGAAGAGAAAGCAGAAGAGTCTTGGATGATTCCAGAGTTGTGGCTTTGCAGATTGGGGTGGATAGAAAGAAAAGAAAGGAGGTTGTTTCAGTGCTTGTGTGTGTTAGGAGGAAGAGAGTAGGAGTGGATCTAATAATTTTAGTTTGGAGCATGGTGACTTTAGGACCCAGATGAACTCTATCATGTTGTGAGAAATAAAAATAATGAAAGTCTCAGTTCCAGGAGGTGAGAACTAAGAGATACTTGAAGTAAAGGTACTTGTAAATTCACGGGGCATATGAGGGATAAATGTTAGGGATAATCATTACCTTTCGTTGCCCAGAGTAGTGGAAAGGTCTGGCTTGATCTGCTGTTATATATTTTTCAAGGCCGAATTATTATGTAAAGTTATGACTTTTCTTTCTGTGTCTCCTTTTAAGATTAAGTTACTGAACAAAAAGAAGCATGACTTAGAAAGCCTGTAAATACTACTACCAAATATTCTCAACGCAGGTTACAGGGCACCAACATATAATTAAAGAAGTGAATTTATCTTTGTTGTTGTGAGGTTAGCACAGGGCCTTTTCTTTTCCAAAGTTCAAGTTGGTACAGGATTAATAATCAATCTGTACTCATCATTCTTTAAAAGAAAGCTACAGTGGTTTTCAGTTCTTGCTCAGTACAGAGCTATTCCCTTGGGTATGTTCCCTTGGTACTTCATTATACCACATAGTACGTATATTTTTTAATTTTACAATTTCACCCCTTTCTCACAAACTAGATTGTGAGCCCCTTGAGAGAAAGGGTTGTTTCTTACTCATCTTTATATCATCAACGACCAATGCCTGGCGTATTGTTGGGGCTAAATGAACATTAATTGATTACATCAATGAAGCAAAACAGGGATGTAACAGGTACTATTTATTTAAAACTAGCGCCCACTGCTTTAAACCCTTCACTTGCATTATCGCATTTAAACCTTGTAACCACCTTTAGAAGTGAGGAAACTGGCTCAGAGAGTGTAGGATCATCTGACAAGCAGAGACAATTAGGATTAAACCCTTGGAAGAGAGAGTGCTCTTCTCCTGAGGTGATAATGTAACCGTTATGAGTCAGACTGCCTAGGTTCAGTCTCCAACTCTACCACCGGTTTTCTGCGTGATCTTGCTTAAACCGCAGCCTCCTCCTTGCCCTGCTGACCAGAGTCAAGCATCCTGCACGCTGCTTCAAAAACTTCACCTTTCTGTCCAGTCTCTGATGCTCGGAATTTCTAGACGGATAGAGCCTGTGACTCCGTTAGCACTGAAGCCTTGGGGGATCAGCTGGTTGAGGTGATGGATAAACAAATGTAGCCGTTAGGGTAAACTTGCTCCAGACTGAAAGCCCCGCTCTCCCGCCCCCTCGCGCCTGCAACTCACCAGGGCGGGTCCCGCGTCTCCCACCGCCGGGCGCGCGCCTCCCGTGAGGCCGCGCAGGGCCCCGAGCGTGCGCAGGCGCGGGGCGCAGCTCCTCAGCATGGCTCGGTGGGCGCACGGGCGACGGCCGGGAGCGCGGCGGCGGGGCTGAGCTGCTGCAAAGACAGACTCGCCTAGGTACTTCCCCGCTCCTTCTTATAATCGAGGTGAGCGGAGGGCGGAGCCTGATGCGAAGGCCACGTGGCCCCGACGGGCGGCGGCCGGGAGGGCAAGAAGGCTGGCGGGGCCTCGGCCTTGTCTCCCGGAAGACCTTTCGCCCTCGCTGGCGCGGCGTCTGGCCACTGTTACCCCGCCAGGAGGGTGGCCGGAGCGGTGGCGCCGGCGGCAGTGCAGCCTGCGGGAGGCGAGGAGGGCCCACTGCCGCCCGGGTGACCCCATGGTCCCGCGGTCGGCGCGCTGCAGGGCGGAGGTGTCGCTGTCCTCCCTTCCGTGTTGCGCAGCCAAATTTAGTGCTCTCTTGTTCCCAAGTAGTTCTCTCTTTCGCAGAAGACGTACGTAGCCCTCGGGCGGGAAGCAGCACACACGAGGAAGAGTCAGAATAAAGTGTTTCCTTGTATGCCACGGACGTGTCCCTGGGATGGGGTTGTATGGTTATATAGAGAGCTTGCTGATTGCAAAGGGCATTTATACGCTTAAAATCCTCCTTTCTCGGCTTCTTCCTCTGCCCAGACAGACACTCACCCACCCTTTAGGCCCCGGGCAGAGCTAAAAGTCCTTAAGTCAGGCGTTTTCAAATAGAAATAGAAATCATAACATTTGAAGGTATGTTCATCTCTAGCTTTGGAGGCACACCTGCGTTCACTTAACCCTTTGTACAGACTCTTCGGATGTGCCCGGCCTACTGTGCCCTCATGTGTTTATTGTGAGGACAAAGATGAATGTGTAACCATGGGCCCTCTAGGACCAGTCCAACTGACCCCATCTTATCAGTGGAGTAATTAAGAGTGTTGTTTTCAGGAACTGAGACCCCCTTGTCCCATTCAGGCTAGATGAGACCACCGACGCATCAACTGGGCCTGCACAAATGCCTGACAGGTGACTTTTTTGACATCAAAGGGATGAAAACCTCACCCTCAGACCATGCTAAGCCCACCATTTTGTGAACACGTGTCCTATGAAGAGCCATGAAGCTTGACTGTGCATACACAGATCAATTACCTCATTTCTCCTTACCTCAAATCATCTATCTCCGTGCTTCAGACTGCCATGGTGTTCATCCCATAAGTTTTGCCTCGAGTTCTGGGTTGGGGTGTTACCAGCTCTTAATATCAGCCTTAATATTGATTCCCCTACAGTGAAACAAGCATATACGGGGTTAAAACTGAAAGCACATGTTCCCAGTTTCCTGGTTCTTTAGTTATTCTCATATGTAAATATTTGTTTTTTTGACCTGTGATTTCCTGAGCCTTACAACCAAATAGAAGTTACAAGTTGTTAGAGCCCAGGTGACCTCACACTGGGGTCCCGCTAAAGTTGTGGCTAATCGCAGGGCCTTGAAGTTCTTTTACAGAGAAAGTGATGTCCAGAGAATATCAAGAAACGTAAGCTTCCCAGGCCCAATTCCTTAGCTTCCTGACATCACAGTCTGCTTTCCACCGTGGAGATAAACAGCCAAGGACCCTCATCTGAGAAATCCTTTGTCTCCTCCACTGGAAGCAGCCCCAGACACAGGCTGATGGGAAGACCCTGACCAAGAAGTCCAAGGCCCCCCTTCTCTACCTAAAATCCCCAGTAAAAACCCCTACCCGTTTCTTAGTGGGGAACTAGCAATTCTTGAGGCACTAGCCCTTGCTTTGCTCCCTCTGCCTGGCAAAGTAAAGCCTTTCCTTTTCCACTCAAGACTCTGTTCTCGTTATTTGGATTGGCATCAGGTTCAAAGCCCAAACTTTGGATAATACAGATGTTGGATCTGAGAGCGCATGCTCATGTCTTCTTGCAGATTGATCTAGCAAATAAAGCTGTTTTCTTTTCCCAAAAGTCAATGCTGTAGTAATTGGCTTTTTAAATGTGCACTGGGCGAGAGAATCCCAATTTTGTGCAGTAACAAAAGTTTCTTTATCAAGTTTTGCTATTGCCTGAACCTTCTCTTTCAGTAGGAGTCACAAAGTTAGAAGTTAACTTGTCCTTCCCTTACAAAGAAAGTGCTCTCAGGCCAGTGGTGTGCTAGAGCTGGCTTGTAAAGGCTCATGGGAATAGATTGTTAAAATTTAAAGAATTTGGCTAGCCAATTCTTAAACACTGCCATTATTAAAATTTAAATTTAGTAAGCTTACAATGTAATAAATTGTATTAAAAGTGAAGGTTTTAGATACTAAAAAAATGTAACTTCCTGCTTATTTTACTACCTTTTACTATTATCTGTGCTCTTGATGCTATTTACCTCTATTGTGTCTGTATGGTGGGAACACTAGGCACATACCTTCCCAACCTCCACATTCAGTCACAGTGGTAGCTTGAAATCAACTAGATGGGAGTGTTCACTCAGATACTGCAAATGAGGGCCTTCCTCTCTCCCCCGTTATTAAACATTTACCAATATACACAGTCCTAGTCCATCCTGAGGTGAAGTCTTAAGACTCTAAGGGTTGCTAGAATAATGGGTCACTGGAATTGCTTACCCCCAGCACATCATTACACAATGTTTTCCCACCAACACAGCTCTAACCATTCACATAGTAAAGATGAGACTGGAAGGACCATTATCTGGGGAGAGATTTATCAGAGAGAAACTTGGCTTTGGGTTTGACTCTAAGTTCAGAGAGCCCCCCCTGCCCATTTCTACTTCTTTTGTGAGCAGTTAGTAACCTTGAAACTCCAAGAACCTGGATGTATTAGATGTTTTCCTTGATTACATGAACTTCTTCATCAGTTTGTCAGTAGGAAAGAATGTCCAGATATATTTTAAGCCCATAATATTAACTAGGGGAAAGGTATAACATTCTGAGACAAAGGGAATTAGAGAGAGAGACCTATAAAAGGGACTCTTTGAATCCTAGAGCAACTGAACTGAAGATGATCACACATAAAGCATGGCTGTTGATAGTCCATAATTTTAACAGATTGTTACCTCATGTCCTCCCCCCACCCTCCACATACCCTCTATCTCTTTGTTGTTTTCTCTTCAACTGTATTCCAGTTTCCTGAGAGCAGGGACAACACCGAATTGTCTTGTTAATTGTAGTATTTCTTGTAATAACTCACACACAGTGCTTCAATACTTGTTTAGCAGTAAGAGCCCAAAGTATCTTGGGTGTCTATTGTCTTACCATGTGGCACATGCAAATAGAGGCACAAGAATAATATGAACCCATAAAATCAAGATGACCTGATAAGGAATAAGAAAATAGTTTATAACTTAAAATTGTATATACTTACAATTTACAATGTAGTCAGAGTCGATCAAAACTCATAAATACCTTCCAGCCTTGCTAAGATCATATTTTAAATGTAACAGTAGTTCATATATCAGTCTCTCAAAAGACCTTGGACTTAGGACAATTATAGGTCAAATACACTCACTATAACTTTCAAATTTTTCAAGTGGTGGCAACACATTTGGGTCAGTCATCCACACTCTGACCTGGCTTCCTCATCAGGCGTTTTTCTGAGGTATTCATGTTGACATCACGTATGAAATCTGGCCAGGTTTGGAGGGGAAGGGGGCGAGCCACGGTCTAGGAATAGGATTGGCAGTCTGTGGAAGTGCAAGAGTTTTTCTTTGAAGTTTGTGTGGTTTAGACAACGAATAAATTTGCAACCTTTCTTTTGATAGAACTATGCTTTAACTAAATAAGCCAACCATATGAAACTTAATAGTGTTCTCACCATTCGCCTTTAACATTATAAACTTTATTGACATATAAAAAACTTTTATATTTATTATTATTGACATATAATAAACCTCATGTATTTCAAGTGTACAATTTGGTAAATTTTGATAGACATATATACCTATGAAACCATCACTACAATCAAGATAATAAGTCTATCTGTCACCCACAAGTTTCCTTTTGCCCTTTTGTAAACTCCTTTACAGGCAATCACTGATCTGCTTTCTGTCTCAGTAGATTAGTTTGCATTTTCTTGAGTTTTACATAAATAAAATTGTTACTGAGCAAAGGCTTGCTGCCAGATGCACACAGAAGCCGATACTACAGCACCAGCTTTTCACAGAAGGAAGAGCTTTATTGCATGGCCTACTAGCAAGAAGACAGGAGGCAAGGCTCAAATGTGTGTCCTGGAGCTGAAGCAGGGACAGACTTTTAAGGAGCTGAGAAGGGGAGTGATTATACAAAATGCTAACTCTGTAGAATCTGATTGTAGGGTGGGAGTGGAACAATCCTATAAGACCAACATGCTACAAATCAAGGGACCGCTCACTTCTCCTTAGGTTCCCCGTTCTGCTTTCTCTTCACATTGAGTTCCACAGTTGGGGAACTTTTGGTTCCTAGGCAGCTCGAAGTTATCTGAGGACAAGGTTTCCATCTTCTGGGCATGCTCCAGCTACATGACTTGCAGTTTTTGCTTGTTGTCTTAGCAAAACAATGCTTTTCTTTGTTTTTTCTTTGCTATTTAATTAAATTGGGTACATACATTATTATAAACAAATATTTATTATTTGCTTTCAAAAAGAGGTCTTTAAAAATTTGTTTATTTTTATTTTTTAATTGAGATTCATAGTAGTTTACATCATTGTGAAATTTCAGCTGTACGTTATTTCTTGTCTGTCACTACGTAAGTGCTCCGCTTCACCCCCTGTGCCCACCCTCCACCCCCCCTTCCCCTGGTAACCCCTGAACTATTTTCTTTGTCCATGTGTTTGTGTGAAACAATATTTGACACAACATTGTTATTGTTACAATAGGGCCAGTATGAATTGGCCTATGGTGGTTACAAAAATCATATAGTATATACTCTTTTTTTTGTCTGGGC